AATGTTTGAATATAAAGATGGCCGCCTCTCACCTTTTCAAACACAAGAAAAAGAACAAGGAAGCTGTTGGAACGTTTAGGCATACAGTTCTTTACTTCGCTATCGAAACGCTATTAAATCACTATTGAACACTACTTGGACATTAGTTTTGACATTAAGTTGTGCCTTTTAACCACCATTCCTCAATCACCTACCAATTGTTTGTTGGATTACTGGAGTCCATTGCTTTGTCTGCTACTACCAACCTACTTACCTGCCTGCTGCCTGCCTTGCTCTGCTTACCAACCTATTTAGCTACCTGCTGGAATTCCGTCTCATCCACCATTTAAAAAACGTACAATTCAAGTTTCTCTGCGTTGGATAGCTTGTCAAAGAAGTTAACCAATACGTCCCAGCTAAGAGTGGTCTGCCAATATATTAGTAAAGAACTTTGCAATCGTTTACGCTGCTTCACAATCGAATTGTTTGGAACCTATGGAAGCATTTTTTTTACTGTTATTGAAGCGTAAAAGTTTTGGATCTTTTGAGAATTCACCTATTCAAGTTCACTGTTGGAGTGCATTTTTTCGTTTGATACTGGATTTGCTACTGGAGCAGATCATGTTTTTTGTTCATGCACATTTAAGCTAAAATGAAGCCAGATGAGAATGAATTGAGTTGAAGATAACTGTGCTGTTTACATTTTTGAAAAGAAAAAAGAAAAGAATTTTTTTTTAATTTTTTTTGTGGTTCTCAAACCAAAAATATGGCTGATGGCAAAATTAAAGAGCTTTGCGCAACGCGCAGAGGAAAACTTGGCGTGTGTACACGTAAAATGAATGAATTAAAGGAGTTATTAAAAGGTGGAGATATTGAAGCCGTTGACACAGGCATTGAACAGCTCCATGTGGCATTGGACGAATTTAAAGATGTGCATCAATCTGTGCAAGTGTTGCATGAGGAAGAGGAAAAGAAAAGTGACAATGATGATTGGTACCAACCAAAGATGCAAACTTTTGAAACGTTTTTGAATGAGGTAGAAATGTGGAAGAGTGCTCAAAGCTATGAACCCCAAACTGTGGTATCTCCTCTGGACAGTATATCCATTGTGGCAGCACGTGCAGGTAAAGTAAAATCTTCATGTTCTGGTGGCAGTGTTTCCTCAAAATCTTCGTCAGTGTCTTCCGCACGTTTAAAAGCTGAAGCTGAAAAGGCAGCTCTATTGCAACGTGCTGAAGGACTGAAGAAAAAACAAGCCTTGGAAATGGAAAGAATTAAAGTGCAAAATGCAATGGAAAGAGTTGAACTTGAAACAGAGTTGGCTGCAGCTAATGCAAAGGTGCAAGTGTTACAGAACATTGATGCTGAATCTATGAACTCTAGACTCAAATCGACAGAAGTTTCAGAATTGCCAGGGGATGGCATGAATGCGTATCTGGAGAGCAAATATGACAGAATTAAGGAGCATGTTTATCCAGAAGCCTCACCAGTGGAATATACCAGAATCTCTGCTGTTCCCAAAACACCATTGCAAAAGGTTTTAACACAGGATACAAGACCGCGGAGGTTACAAAGACCTGTCCAGACCTTACAACTGAATCCGACCAGTCAAACAGCTGCAGGTACTTCCTTTCCACATGCGCCTTTAAGCTCAGATACCAGCAACCTGGATGCTGTTGCTGATCTTATTGCACAGCAACAGAAAATGACTTTACTTCCAACTAAGCACCTACCCATGTTTAACGGTGAAACTCTGAACTTCAGACCATTTATGCAGGCATTCGAACACTGTATTGAGAAAAACACCAGCAATAGCCAAGACAGACTGTATTACCTTGAACAATACACCTCTGGCCAACCTAAGGAGCTGGTCAGAAGTTGTCTTCATGTGGATGCAGATAGAGGGAATGCAGAGGCAAAACGCCTATTGGAACTTCATTTTGGAGATGAGTTTAAAATTACTAATGCTTATATGGATAAAGCCTTAAATTGGAATAATATCCCATCAGACAATGGAGAAGCTCTGTACAGTTATGCTCTTTTCCTCCGAGGATGCTGTAATGTAATGCGTACCTTAAGGTACATGGATGAGCTGAACCTTCCATTAAACCTGAGGCTTCTAATCTCCAAGGTGCCGTACAAAGTGAAAGAAAAATGGAGATCACATGCTTTTGACATCAGGGAACAAACAGGAGCAAGAGCCGAGTTTACCGATCTTGTCGTCTTCCTGGAAAGGCAGGCCAGGATTTTACAAGACCCAGTTTTTGGTAACCTCCAAGACGGCTCCTCAAACAGAAGATCAACAAGAACAGCTGCTAACAGTAACAAGCCAATGAGTTTCATGCAGAAGAACAGAGGGAGCAGTTTCGCCACAACAGTAGCAGTTGCACCAAAGAACAATACAGAGAGCACAATGCAAGCATCCAATGTGCCCAAAAACAGTTCATCAAAACTCTGTCCTGCCTGTAATGGTGAGCATGAGATTGTGTCATGTCAAGAGCTGATGCAGAAGTCTCACAACGCACGAGTTGAGCTGCTAAAGACTAAAGGTGTCTGCTTTGGTTGTCTTGCTAAAGGACACATGAGTATGACCTGCAAAAGAAGACAAATCTGTTCAATTTGTTCAAAATTACATCCCACTATCTTGCATATACCTCAAAATGTAACGGGAGAGCAGAGTAATGCAGGTCCTTCAGACAAAAAGGCAGTGAGCAGCGGGTTGGTTTCACTGAAACCAGAGGCACTTGATTGCAGTGATAAACATTGTACACTTGCAATAATACCAGTTCAAGTCAAGCTGAGTAATTCAAATCATGTAGTTCAGACATACGCTTTCCTTGACCCAGGGAGTTCTGCAACATTTTGCACAGAACAACTTAGGAGGAACTTGAATGCTAATGGCAAACCTCAACAAATACTTCTTCGCACTATGGGGCAAAATAAATCTGTTAACAGCCTGGTAGTCAAGGGCCTGGAAGTGTGTAGCCTGGAAGGAAAGGAATTCATAAAGTTACCTGAAGTGTACACTCAGCAGGAAATTCCAGTCAACAGAGAACATATCCCCAGACGAGAAGATATTCGAAAATGGCCTTATCTTCAAGATGTTGATATTCCCAACATTAATGCTGGGATTGACCTTCTGATTGGGATTAATGCACCCAAATTGATGGAACCTTGGAGAATTATCAATAGCCAGGGTAATGGACCCTTTGCTGTTAAAACACTACTAGGTTGGGTGGTGAATGGACTTCTCCATACTGAGAATGTATGCATCAACAAGCAAGGTCAGAAATATGTTCATGCACATCGGATTTCTGTTGATAACCTGAGTGAACTTTTGAATCAGCAATACAACTATGAATTCCCAGAAAAGTGTTTTGAGGAAAAGAAACAAATGTCGGTGGAAGACCACAAATTCATGCAGATAATGGACAGCTCTGTTGAAATAGTGGCTGGACATTATCAATTGCCTTTGCCATTCAAGAAGGATAATCCTATGATGCCAAACAACCGTCACATGGCAGAGCAACGAGCATTGACTTTAAAAAGAAAGTTTCAAAGGAATAGTGACTTTCATAATGAGTATAGTGCATTTATGAAAACGGTCCTATCATGCGGACATGCTGAACTTGTACCCCAAGACCAGTTGATGCAGGAAAATGGAAAAGTGTGGTATATTCCACACCATGGTGTGTTTCACCCAAAGAAGGGGAGCTTGCGTGTGGTATTTGATTGCTCTGCAGCTTATCAGGGTGCCTCACTGAACACTGAACTCATTCAAGGTCCCAATCTTACAAACAGCTTAATTGGGGTTTTAGTTCGTTTTCGTCTTGACAACATCGCAATCACGGCTGATGTGGAGAAAATGTACTATCAAGTAAAGGTCCCATCTCATCATGTGAACTTCTTGCGCTTCCTTTTAGGCCGTAAGGTGAAGACGTTTTACGTTTAATCCCGTTCCCATATATGCGGCACTAAATTGTTTTAATTCTAATAAAAAGGTCGATTGTTTTTGGGCGAGAAAATAAAAGTTCTCCATGTGTAATCCTGCAGTTTATTTTTTATTACTGTTTAAAGTCGGCAATAGTTCTTTCCTCGCGTAATCATATTTTGATCATCAGTGATGAGGCTTCGCGGAACAATCATCACGTGCTTCCTGCTAGACCAATAAGGTGGCCGCTTTTTTGGGACGACAGGTAAACATTAGTACAAGATGTCTGCGCCCTTGTTGTCAATATCGAGTAGTGAAGAAGAGGAAATTACGCCCAGACCTCCTTCAAAAGTCCGTAAAAAACATTTTAAACAATGCTACATGCATCTCACGTCCATAAAGAAAGAAGAAACAAAGGATTTTACACGCACACGGTGGGATACATTCAGAAACTGCGTCAAACGGTGGCTTGGTTTGCAAGGTGAGAATCAGATAATAGCAGAAACCTACAAACATTGTCTAGAAATCGAGTTTGACAATGTTCCCGAAGACGCTGGGTTTCACTCCACTTGCTACAGGCGTTTCATTGACAAAAAGCGGTTGGATGCGGCCGAGAAACGGGCCACACAGCGTCACGAAATTCAAGATCAAGGCCAGTCTGTGCCATCGGGTAGTAACGTTAGTATCGCTACAGTTGAATGTCCGACAAAGAAACTTAGGTCCAGGACCGGGCTGCCAGTAGCTTGTGCTGGTCCTGTGCTTCCTGCCTTGTGCATAATTTGTAAGAAAACGGACAAGTACATTACTGTGGGAGGCAAACGCCAGAAGGACCATCTTTCACAGGCAGAAACGTCAGCAGGTAGGTAAAAACAAAATACACACACACACACACACACACACAAACAAACACATACACACATTTGAACTTTTATTCCCTTATGCTGGGTACCATGGCTAACTTTCAATTACAATTACAGAATTTATGTAATGTTTATTTTAAAATCAGAGACAGATTTGCATTGTTTTGCATACAGCTACAGCCGTTACTCAATATTGTTTAACTATTAACACAGTTTTTTATTAGTTTAATTAGTTTGTATTTATTTATTTACAGGCCAGTTGCTGAAAGCTGCTGAGATGAAGGAAGACACTAGCATTCTTGTGCATATTCGAGACAAAGACTGTGTGTCTCTGGAGGTGCGATACCACAAGTCCTGTTATAGACAGTACACCAGGTTCTTGACAAAGTCTAGTGCATCAGTTACTGGGACCTCAGAAGAACAGTGAGTTATTCATATTTTATATTATTAAATAATAATTCCCTCACATTTTCACATTTCAAAAGTAAAGGATTGGCCATCTGTATTTTTGTCTGTAAACACAGTCTTGACTGCACAACTATTGCACCTGTAATTCAAAATGTTGAATAATAATAATAATAAAAAAATCAAATCACTTTGTCAGGTTTCGATTTGCTACTATTTATACTACATTAAAATTGAAGCCATTGTGCAATAGTTATGGCATATAAAGTAATACATATTTTCTGTTTTTAATGTGTTTTCTTTTCAGAAATGAACCAACCTTCGATGCCAGCTACAAGATCTTCTGTGAGAGAATCATCCGCCATAGAATAATTGTAAACCAAGAGGTGTTGACAATGACTCAGCTAAGAAGGATCTTTTTAAATCTGGTGAAAAAACATGAAGATCTTGATGCTTCAAACTACAGGTAATTTGAATACCACAAAGTGTCTTTAGCATCTTTGGAAAGAACGTTTATCCAACATTCTTTTTCTAACTAACATGGAATTCATAATAATCATAATCATATTTTATAATGTGTAGAATCTGTTAACAGTGTATTTTAACTTTTAACTAATTTAACAAATTCAGTGTGATTATATCTTTATTTATACCATTGTGATAATCTTTCACTCTTATCGTTTTGATTCAGGCAGGATAAATTGAAGAGGAGGTTGGCCCGTGATTTCCCTCAGCTGGTGTTTCACTCCCCCAAGAAGCGCAACATAAGTGAGATGGTTTTCGTCGAGACATTGTCTGCAGATAAGCTGATAGACAGGCTACCTCATCCATCAGGTACAGAAACAACAGAGTCAACTGAGGTAACTAGCCAAAGTGACTGTGAAAACAGGGTTAGTGCAAAAGCTGGACCACAAAGACCAACTTCAATGGCCTCCATCAATACTGCAGAGGACACAAGGACACTTTACAGTGCGGCATTAATATTAAAGATGCTTCTGTGTGACTCTCCCGGTATGAAATGCCCGTGGCCACCCACATCAGATGACTTAAATGTGAGCGAGGCAAAATCTGTCGTGCCAATTGAACTTTACAATCTGATTTCCTGGATTATTGGTGCAACTGAGGAACCAACACTGGCCCATTATGTTGATATTCCAGATGATTTGAACCTAAAAGTGATATCTATCTGTCAAGACATTGTGTATCTTGCATCTAAGGGCCGGAGGCAGACCCCTAAATCATTGTGTCTTGGTCTAACGGTGCGCCATTTAACAGGTTCATCACACATTGTGTCACTTCTAAATAGACTAGGACATTGTGCATCATGGGACACAGTTGTCAGTCTAGACACTAGCCTTGCCCAACTTACACTAGTAGAGGGCAGAGATAAAATACCAAAGGGATTCTCAAAGAAGGTTCCTACCGTACTTGTGTGGGACAATATTGACTTTGGGGAGGAGACACTGTCAGGTCGTGGAACTACCCACCACACAAATGGGATTATGCTGCAAAGTTCTGTAGTTGAACCTGTGTCAACAACAAACAGACAACCTCTACAGAAGGGAGTTTCCTCATTTAAAGCACCCCCTAGCATCCCTGTAGAACCATACCATCAGTCTAAAAGACAAGGACCACAGAACTTGTTTCATCATGAAAGTGTTCCATTACAGGCGGACACATACAAATTGAACACGGTGTCTGCTGTACAAGCTGAACTGGCATATGTTTTTGTAAAGTCCATAGATGCTGAAAAATGCACAATACCAAGCTGGACAGGTTTCCATACATTGCTTCAAGGTGATGGCACTCTGCAAAAGTCAGCACTTTATTATCTTCCAGTCATTGAGGCTTCACCGACAGAGATGTCAACAGTGAACACAATTCTGAAGCGAAGTGTCCAAATTGCTAATCAGCTAGAACTGGACCATATAGTGTTAGTTTTTGACCAAGCTATATATGCCAAAGCTCAGCAAATCCGCTGGAAAGATGATGACTTTACTCAGCGTATTGTGATTAGACTAGGTGAATTTCACACATGCATGTCCTACCTGAGCATTCTAGGAAAAAGGTTTGGAGATGCAGGACTGCAAGACATACTCATTGAGTCCGAAGTTGTTGCCCCAGGATCCATCAATGGAGTGATCAGTGGTCATCATTACAACCGCAGCATAAGGGCACACAAACTTCTGTATGAGAGTCTGCAACGCATCAGACTTCTCACCTTCTTAGATTCTCTGCCACCAGAGGAGAGATATGAGTGTCTGGATGTCATCAATGAGATCAAATGTGCATTCCCGGACAGAACAATGGATGTTTTGTGTGCAAATGAGAAATTTGACAAAATGTGTTCGAAATATGAAGACTTTGTTAAAAGAAGTAGTGCAGAAAACCCAACGTTTGCCTTCTGGAGTTCATACATCGACATGGTACAGATACTCCTTCTATTTGTGAGAGCAACACGAGAATCGGACTGGCAGCTTCACCTGTCAACAGTGCGCTTGATGATGCCATGGTTTTTTGCGTACGATCGTGTAAATTATGCTAGGTATTTACCTTCATACTGGCTGGAAATGGTCAATTTGCCTCTCACACATCCTTCTTGCCACAGTGAGCTCAGTGTTAAAGGCCAGTCGACTGTCCAACGTCAAAGTGTCCATGGATTTGCCTCGATTGCTTGTGACCAGGCCATTGAGCAAACATGCAACAGAGATTCGAAGACAAAGGGTGGTTGGATAGGGTTAACACAGAATCGTGCTGCAGTATATCGCTGGATATTGTCGCAACATGAAAGGGCTGCCATAGCAAGACAATGTGAGGCAATGGCAGGTAAATCTCCCGATATAAGGAAACGAAAAGACCTTGACAGCACACGAATTCTTGCTGATGAAAAGGCTGTGACCAGAATAATTTCCACCCTAGATTCCATGCTGAATCCTTTTGACACGCACCAAGATGGCATTGTATGTCTTAGCTCTGGGACAGTAGCAGCTGAAGAAATCATGAGGGATTTGCTTGCAGCTCCGGAAAAGGGGGAAAAGGCTGTCAAAGAGTTTATGGACCAAAGACTGTTTTCACCATCAGTTGACATATTTGCTCCCATCAAAACACAAAAACTGAAGACCTTTAGTGACCAAGCCAAGACAAAGAAGAAATCTGCAGCAGGCAAGGAAGTGATTCTGCGTGCCGACAAGAAACTATTCTCCAGATTACTTGTCATAGGTCAAAGTAGAAAAATAGACCTGCGGGAAATTCTGTCTTACTCCTTGGGAACTGTGTCATATCCTTTAGCCAGTGCTGATGGTTCACTTGCTAAAACAAACAAATCAGCTCTTATGGATTTATTGGAAACCAAAGGTGGAGACTGTTTAGTTGACGAAGTTCCGACAGATGGAGCTATTCTCTTCGATGGCATGGCAGTCATTCAAGCCATTCGGTCCATACCAAGTACCTTTGGAGAGCTTGCAGACACCATACTGCAGTACATAGTCAAGCTTGCTCTGAAACACAACTGTACACGGATAGACTTTGTGATTGACCAGTATCCGAAAATGAGTATTAAAAACCTAGAACGGTCACGTAGAGCTGGTGGTGGTACACAACTGGTGAAAATTTATGGACGGGATCAGAAGACACCAACACAATGGAAAAAGTTTCTATCAGATGGAACAAACAAAGAAGCACTGGCAGAATTCCTCTATGTTGTGTGGCGAGAGGCTGATCTTACCACTGTGGGCAAGGACTTAAGCTTGTACATAGCACATGGAGACCTGTGTCACTGCGTGACTGTAATGGAGGGTTTACAAACTCTCAGTGCTGTTGACGATCTGACATGTGATCATGAGGAATGTGACACCAGGGTGTTTTTACATGCACAACATGCAGCACAGGAACATCAAACTGTAGTCATCAAGAGCCCTGATACTGATGTCGCAGTGATTGCTTTAAGTCTGCAGCCAGATTTACCATGTAGGTTGTATTTTTTCACGGGGGTTGGCAACAAAACAAGGCTCATTGACTTAGCTAAGGTGTCGTCAGCTCTTGGCACAAGTGTCTGTTTGGCACTTATTGGGATCCATACCTTCTCAGGTTGTGACTCTACAAGTGCCTTTTATGGCAAAGGCAAAAGAAAGGCATTTTCTGTTGCTTGTGAGAAAGAGGAATATCTGACTGCATTTACAAATCTGGGTAGCAGTTTTAACCTAGACCAGTCTACCTTTGAGCTACTTTGCACATATGTGTGCCACCTGTATGGCCAGTCATCTGCCGAAAATGTGAACGATGCAAGGTACAAAGCATTCTGCATGGCGTCGTCAGCTTTGCCAGAACTATCCATGCCCCCAACAAGTGACGCACTGTACCAACACTGCAAAAGGGCAAACTACCAAGCAGCCATAATGAGACATTCTCTGAAAGGTATAATGTGTGCCCCTTCACCCGTTGGCAATGGATGGCACCTCGAGGATGGTGAGTTAACAGTGACCTGGATGACTAGAAATCCTGCCCCTGAAAGTGTGTTGCAGGCGGTCCACTGCAGTTGCAAGCATAGCAAATGTGAGACTGGAAGATGTTCCTGTATGTCTGCAAGACTGTCTTGTACTGATTTATGTCGGTGCCAAAATTGTGCAAATGTTTCACAGGAAAAAGAAGAAAGACCGACATGGGATGACGCCTCTGATAGTGATAGGGATGATACCGATGAGTAAATATCCGCTGTGTTATAATTTAAGGTGATTTTGAGCTGTAAAAAATCTGTTGTAGAATTGTATTTTGTTTTTGGCAGCATTCAAAAATAAGGGGACAGTGTAGCATTTCGAGTCATTTCAGCCAACTTGGGCCAAAGTGTGCTTATATTTGTATCTTTCTGTAATTGCACAGTACCTATTGAAAATGTTGATGTATAAAACATCACAGTTTTGCTAAATTTATAATGTTTATGTTTAATTCCAATCCGTGAAGTTGAAGGATATTTTCTACAAATGTGCCATATTTCATGGTCTACATTCACACTTGAGTATATAATGCACCAAAATCTGTCTCAAGTGTTTAGGTACATGTATAAATGTCAGTTTGAGAGATATTTTGTGTTGCTAAAATGTATATAAATAAAGTTACAAACAAAATCAGAAGCATAAGATTTTCGTTTTTTCAAATTGACAATTATATACATTTATGGATTAAAAAAAAAAAACTGCAGGGTATTTTGCGGAGAACTTTTAACATAAAGTCGATAATGGTATTGTCTATGCAAAAATTTATTTAAAAAGTAGTGCCCAGGTGTGGGAACGAAAATCATTTTCTAGCCACTTTTTCCTAGTTCAGCTTATGGCCTATTTGGTGGCCGAATGGGGACGTTAGTCAGCCACTGAAAGAGTACAGGATGATCGTACATCTTTTTGGCGCGACATCATCAGCTAGCTGTGCAAGTTACGCTTTAAGGAGGACAGCTGAGGATAACAAGGGGTGCTTCTCAGCTGATGCAACTAGCACAGTCAAGAACAACTTCTATGTGGATGATTTGTTGAAAGCGGTGGACACAGAGGGCCATGCCAATAGACTTTGTAAAGAGCTGAAATTACTCTGTGCAACTGGAGGCTTTAAATTGGATTAGTAACAACAGAGCTGTCTTGGTCTCCATTCCAGAGCCTGAGAAGGCCAAGGACATAAAGAATCTCGACCTTGACATAGAAGATTTGCCAGTTGAAAGAGCGCTCGGGGTGCAATGGGATGTCAAGGAAGACACTTTCACATTCCAGGTGACCATAAAGGAGCGTCCATGCAGCAGACGTGGGATTCTGTCCATGGTCAGTTCTATATATGACCCACTTGGATTCCTCGCACCTCTCACCTTTTCGGCAAAACACATCTTGCAAGAGTTATGCAAGAACTTTGGATGGGATGAAGAATTGCCAGAGGTACACGCAATGTGTGAGGTTGAGGCGATTCTCAATAGCCGTCCACTCACGACTGTTTCTGATAACCCAAATGAATGTGTGTGTACAGTGTACAGTGTGTACATTGCCGACAATATACAGAGACTTGAGACTTGACTTGGACTCTAGCTCAAAGACTTAAGACTTGACTTGGACTCTAGCTCAAAGACTTGAGACTTCATTATGACAGCCGATCATTAAAGGGAGCCATTAACGCCTAATCATATATTGCAACTTAAGGTGCAGCCTGTTTTACCTCCAGGTTTGTTTGTGAAAGAAGATCTTTACACCAGGCATCGTTGGAGACAGGTCCAGTACATTGCCGACTTATTTTGGAAACGCTGGGTCCGAGAGTACCTCCCTCTCCTGCAAACTCGGCAAAAATGGTCTCGTGTCAGACGCAACTTCTGTCCAGGAGACGTTGTGCTAGTAGCCGATAGCACAGCGCCAAGAGGATCATGGATGCTGGCTAGAGTCACTGAAGCCTTCCCTGATTCCAAAGGCTTGGTCCGCAGCGTACGGCTTCAAACTAAAACAAGCCAGCTTGAAAGACCTATCAGTAAAATCTGCTTGCTAGTAGAAGGCCAACATTCTAAAGCTGAGTGAGACTTGAACGAACTTGCGCACGTGCACACACTATCATACAGATGCATACACTGAATCTTTGCACCCATTTATTCTTGTAAATAATGCATAATGAGTTTAAGGAAATAATATATAGCTCCTTGAAAAATGACATTTAGTTAGTTATAGCATGCCTTCTGCAATAGCTATAAGGGGCCGGCTATGTAGGAGCTATTTTGAGTTTAGTTTAATCTAAATTGTTGTGCTATTGGAGCACTGGTATGTTTTGTTAGATTTAGGATCCTTTATTTTTTAGGGACTTTTATTTTGACAGTTGGTGAGAATGTTTGAATATAAAGATGGCCGCCTCTCACCTTTTCAAACACAAGAAAAAGAACAAGGAAGCTGTTGGAACGTTTAGGCATACAGTTCTTTACTTCGCTATCGAAACGCTATTAAATCACTATTGAACACTACTTGGACATTAGTTTTGACATTAAGTTGTGCCTTTTAACCACCATTCCTCAATCACCTACCAATCGTTTGTTGGATTACTGGAGTCCATTGCTTTGTCTGCTACTACCAACCTACTTACCTGCCTGCTGCCTGCCTTGCTCTGCTTACCAACCTATTTACCTACCTGCTGGAATTCCGTCTCATCCACCATTTAAAAAAGGTACAATTCAAGTTTCTCTGCGTTGGATAGCTTGTCAAAGAAGTTAACCAATACGTCCCAGCTAAGAGTGGTCCGCCAATATACAGAGACTTGAGACTTGACTTGGACTCTAGCTCAAAGACTTGAGACTTGACTTGGACTCTAGCTCAAAGACTTGAGACTTCATTATGACAGCCGACGAGCTCTCACGGCAGCGGGTGCTACCGGGAGAATGGCGACTCCATCCCCAGGTCGTCCAGCTGATTTAGAGGCGCTTCAGGACCCCACAGGTAGATCTGTTTGTAGGAAGTTCCAGCACCATAATGATGTTCCCAACCCACAGACAGCATTACTGACTGACTGACTGACTGACTGACGAAGCCTGGACCCAAGACTCAACCGGGTCAACCCAACAAGTGACGCACTGTACCAACACTGCAAAAGGGCAAACTACCAAGCAGCCATAATGAGACATTCTCTGAAAGGTATAATGTGTGCCCCTTCACCCGTTGGCAATGGATGGCACCTCGAGGATGGTGAGTTAACAGTGACCTGGATGACTAGAAATCCTGCCCCTGAAAGTGTGTTGCAGGCGGTCCACTGCAGTTGCAAGCATAGCAAATGTGAGACTGGAAGATGTTCCTGTATGTCTGCAAGACTGTCTTGTACTGATTTATGTCGGTGCCAAAATTGTGCAAATGTTTCACAGGAAAAAGAAGAAAGACCGACATGGGATGACGCCTCTGATAGTGATAGGGATGATACCGATGAGTAAATATCCGCTGTGTTATAATTTAAGGTGATTTTGAGCTGTAAAAAATCTGTTGTAGAATTGTATTTTGTTTTTGGCAGCATTCAAAAATAAGGGGACAGTGTAGCATTTCGAGTCATTTCAGCCAACTTGGGCCAAAGTGTGCTTATATTTGTATCTTTCTGTAATTGCACAGTACCTATTGAAAATGTTGATGTATAAAACATCACAGTTTTGCTAAATTTATAATGTTTATGTTTAATTCCAATCCGTGAAGTTGAAGGATATTTTCTACAAATGTGCCATATTTCATGGTCTACATTCACACTTGAGTATATAATGCACCAAAATCTGTCTCAAGTGTTTAGGTACATGTATAAATGTCAGTTTGAGAGATATTTTGTGTTGCTAAAATGTATATAAATAAAGTTACAAACAAAATCAGAAGCATAAGATTTTCGTTTTTTCAAATTGACAATTATATACATTTATGGATTAAAAAAAAAAAACTGCAGGGTATTTTGCGGAGAACTTTTAACATAAAGTCGATAATGGTATTGTCTATGCAAAAATTTATTTAAAAAGTAGTGCCCAGGTGTGGGAACGAAAATCATTTTCTAGCCACTTTTTCCTAGTTCAGCTTATGGCCTATTTGGTGGCCGAATGGGGACGTTAGTCAGCCACTGAAAGAGTACAGGATGATCGTACATCTTTTTGGCGCGACATCATCAGCTAGCTGTGCAAGTTACGCTTTAAGGAGGACAGCTGAGGATAACAAGGGGTGCTTCTCAGCTGATGCAACTAGCACAGTCAAGAACAACTTCTATGTGGATGATTTGTTGAAAGCGGTGGACACAGAGGGCCATGCCAATAGACTTTGTAAAGAGCTGAAATTACTCTGTGCAACTGGAGGCTTTAAATTGGATTAGTAACAACAGAGCTGTCTTGGTCTCCATTCCAGAGCCTGAGAAGGCCAAGGACATAAAGAATCTCGACCTTGACATAGAAGATTTGCCAGTTGAAAGAGCGCTCGGGGTGCAATGGGATGTCAAGGAAGACACTTTCACATTCCAGGTGACCATAAAGGAGCGTCCATGCAGCAGACGTGGGATTCTGTCCATGGTCAGTTCTATATATGACCCACTTGGATTCCTCGCACCTCTCACCTTTTCGGCAAAACACATCTTGCAAGAGTTATGCAAGAACTTTGGATGGGATGAAGAATTGCCAGAGGTACACGCAATGTGTGAGGTTGAGGCGATTCTCAATAGCCGTCCACTCACGACTGTTTCTGATAACCCAAATGAATGTGTGTGTACAGTGTACAGTGTGTACATTGCCGACAATATACAGAGACTTGAGACTTGACTTGGACTCTAGCTCAAAGACTTAAGACTTGACTTGGACTCTAGCTCAAAGACTTGAGACTTCATTATGACAGCCGATCATTAAAGGGAGCCATTAACGCCTAATCATATATTGCAACTTAAGGTGCAGCCTGTTTTACCTCCAGGTTTGTTTGTGAAAGAAGATCTTTACACCAGGCATCGTTGGAGACAGGTCCAGTACATTGCCGACTTATTTTGGAAACGCTGGGTCCGAGAGTACCTCCCTCTCCTGCAAACTCGGCAAAAATGGTCTCGTGTCAGACGCAACTTCTGTCCAGGAGACGTTGTGCTAGTAGCCGATAGCACAGCGCCAAGAGGATCATGGATGCTGGCTAGAGTCACTGAAGCCTTCCCTGATTCCAAAGGCTTGGTCCGCAGCGTACGGCTTCAAACTAAAACAAGCCAGCTTGAAAGACCTATCAGTAAAATCTGCTTGCTAGTAGAAGGCCAACATTCTAAAGCTGAGTGAGACTTGAA